CATTTTCTCTCTGCTCAGATGGCTTGGGGTGTCCCTCTTGAGCCAAAGTGCAGGCTGGAACCGGCATTCTGTATGCCAGTTCCTCCTCAAATTTTGTGGCTATGTGTGGAACCGCCCATAGAATCATGCTGGAGACCTAGAGAGAACACTTCTCTAAGGCATCATTAGTCATCCTGCAGGACTCAGAAAAGTACATAGGTATATAAACACTAAAAGGTGCAAGTTACCTCTGTTCACCTGTTACCAACTGCTTGAAACTTCACTTGAAAAAAACTGAAAGTTCCTGGGTCCCTCAATAAGATGCTTCACATGGAAATGTCAGGTCAGCTAGCAAATTAGAATTCTGATAAACTTTTAAATGTCAAAGCATGTTAGTGAGAAAATCATCATTTATTAGAATCATTTCATTATAGGAAGCAGGAGGAAGAGATAATTTTTAGCATATTTTTACCATATAAACGCCATTAATTATGTATTTCATTGATATACCTTCATATTTATAGTCACGTAAATACATAAAATATTCTTTAAAAAGTAAAAAAAAATCTTTAGACAGAGAAAAGGGGTCTATTTGGCATATGGCAGAGAAAACATCCAGACGGAAGAGTGATTTGTATATATCCCTCCTAGCTTAGGTACCCAGCGTTACCTGGGTTATTTGAAGAACTCATTTTTATTTTATTTTACAAAACTCATAAGGTTATGGGTGAACTACAACTCAAATCACGCCAGGTAAACCTCCCCCAAAACTACATCAGTACTTAGTTTATCATGTTGAGAAAGTTTGCTCCAGATTCATCATCAGTGGGATCCGTGTGCACTCTGGCTGCAGGGTAAACTACAACTCCCACCATGGTGAGTCAGTCCCCCTCAAACTCCTACAGTGGGTTCTGTTGGTCATTAGGGTTCTGCGTGCTAAATTTGGTCCCAGTCTATTGTTGGTGCTGGCTACAGTGTCTTCGGATATAGGTCAGCTACAAGAAATGAAGGCCAAGTCCCCTCAAACTTCTCCAGTATGTTCAGTTGGTCATGGGGATTCTGTGTGCCAAGTTTGATTCAGCTCAGTCGTTGGTGGGGGTCACAGTTTGTTGTAGGTGAACTACAACTCCCAAAAAAATTATGATCAATCTCTCCCAAAACCATCCAGTAATCAAAATTGGGTGTATCAGGTATGCATTCCAAGTTTGGTCCAGATCTATCAGCTTTTGGGCTCACAGTGCTCTCTGGATGTAAGTGAACCACAACTCCCCAAATCAACGTGAATTGTCCCCAAAGACCTCCATTATATTTTGCTGCTCATGGGGGCTCTGTGTGCCAAGTTTGTTGTTGCTGTTGTTGTTGTTGTTACACTTCAAGAATCTAGGACCGACTTCATTCCTTTGTACTCAGTTAGCATCTCTGTTTCCATTTGAAACTATTTGGCCAGAATAGTGCCCGTTGGCATTTTTTCACTCATTGTCATGTGAGTTTCAGAAATGAAAGATGAGTCAAAATGAAAGTACAAAGATGTGATATTTTCAAGTTTATCTGATAACTGGAAAAATTCTACCCAAATATACAAACCAGAGAGTAAAATGCAAGGTAGAGGGAGGATCAGAGAATGAAAACAACAAATGTTCTGTTTCCATTATCTCTGTACAACGTTTTTTGTACTACTGCTGCTTCTCTTCTACACATTGGAAATGCAGTTAAGCCTGTATTTAATTCATAGATGCAGAACAAACACAGCACATTCATTTGTATACAGCAAGTCCCGTGGTTTTAAAAAACAAACTACTTTTTTTCCACCATAGAATTATGCTGAAGGATCAAGAGATTCCTAAAGAGACGTTCTCTCAGGTTAAAAATGGCAGAAGTCATGTGTCTCCCACACACACACTGTAAAGTAACACACTCACTTTCTCTAATATAAATTCAATATAACAAAGGAAGGTGCAAAAGCAATAAGGCCCAGAATGAATGAGTCACCACAGCGTCCCTTAATGAACCTATTCCAAATAGTACATGTCAGTCAATCTAAGTACAAAAAATTGCAAAAAGGGGAAAAATCTTTGCATCTAGCAAAAACATAAAACATTACTATACTCTGCACTAGGTCTTGCCTGGATTTATCATATTTCTGCTATACTATCTGCAACATCAGTGTTTCCACAATGGAAAAACCCCACAGGGTAGTTATCTGTATATGACAGAAAAGTACAGATATTTATGTCCTTATTTTTACTGGGTCAATAAAATCTCATATTCTTCATCCCATGATAAAGAGCAGTAGGAAAGAAATTCCTGTCAATAAATGTGACGCCACAATTGAGTGCTGCATTTATATTAAATTAAAATTTACATTTAATAAAATAATTCAGTGATTTCTGAGGACAAAAAGCAAATCCTCCATACGCCCCAAAATGTGAAAAATAGAAGTCCTAGATATCACAGTTAAGCAAGATATTAATTTTCTATCCCAAATAATCACCATAAAATGAATGATGTATGTTCTGTATAATATGCTACATCTGCTTCATTCCCAGAAGAACACTACAAATTAAGCAAGGAAGGTTCAGACTTAAGTACATGGTTTGAGTACATCTGTAACTACTGACTTTTAATTAAAACAACTCATTAACAAATTTCACAAGTGTAAGTTTCAGCCCCAAGACTTCCCAAAACATTTACATCTAGCAAAATCACACTTACACAGAAGTCTCTTGGTGACAGCATATGTGGGTGAACTTTTTTCTATGTGGAATTTATTTCTTATTTCCAAGTAGAGAAACTCACATTAGACACAGCCCCATTAGCAACGTGATACACAATGGCACTGTGCACGGTTTCCAACAAACAGTCCCTAGCTTCATCAGGAGAGCAAATATCCAGGCTAGCCCTTGAAAATCTGACAGCTTTGCCTATTATACCGAAATGCTAATGTTCATTTCTGAATAAACAGCTCTCTTTTACCACAGAAAAGGAACAACATCAAGCACATAGAGCAACCCAAACAAAGTCCTCATCTTCAAACAAAGGGCAAGTTTTCACAATTATTTTTGGCTAGAAAAGGTAAGCAGACTGTGGCTTTTGCCTATCAATTCTCCAATGCAAAGCTTTATTATGAAGGCACGCACCTCTTCCCACTCAGAATTATATTGAATGCAGAACCAAACATTCAATTTAACAGATTTTTTGCTTGGAATCAGAGATGCAGGGAAAATAGAGCAAAAATTTGCCAAGATTCTGGGGGTTGGGGTTCTTTAGCAATATCAACAACAGTGTTTCTTTAACCTCTCCTTCTGTCCAAACTTTCTTTCTCTGGTTGTTGCAAGTGGCAGAGATCCAAGCAGCAATCACTGTTCCCTTTTCTAATACCCTTTTAGCCAGTATTATGAGGCACAGGCACAATCTACATTGCCATATAATCCAGTTTGAAATGTATTATAATGGTCAGCGGACTATAGACTCATATAATGCAGACTGAACTGCACTGAACCGGATTATCTGAGTCTACACTGCTATGTAATCCAGTTTAATACAGTTAATCTGTATTCTGAAACCGGATTATATGGCAGTGTAGATGGAGCCACAGAACACTGTTGAGATGATTTCTACAAGAAAAGGGGATGGCCACATGTTCTCTACTAAAAGTACAGTCTGGATCCATAAATTAGTCGAGTCAGGATTCCTGAATTTATTTTCTACTAAAATTTCTAGAGTTAGACATGAGTATGCAACAGGCATGGCCAAACTTTGGTCCTCCAGGTGTTTTGGATTTCAGCTCCCATAATTATTTATTTATTATTATTATTATTTTATTTAGAACTTTTATATCCCGATCTTTTCTATCTCCGTGGAGGGACTCAGACCGGCTAACAGCAGAAATTCAATGCACAAATACATCTAAAAACATCATAAAATCATAAGTTAAAATACAGACAGGATAAATACATATAAGCCAAATCGCCAATATAGAATCACATTCAACTCAGCCTACCAGTAGTTAGGAATTGTGGGAGTTGAAGTCCAAAACACCTGGAGGGCCAAAGTTTGCCAATGCCCGGCATACACAGTATCTAAATTTGGCCTCTTGAAGGCCTCTTGTTTGCATTACATTCCTTCCAAAATATATAGCACATGAAGCCTTAAATATTTGGAATTCGCTCTTCAACCCCCACCCCCACCCCACCCCCCAAATTTATAAGCAGCCTGCAAAATAATAAAAAGGAATAGAATAAATGAAAAATGAGAACTGGTGCTTACATAACATTAAGACTGAGATTTTTGTAATAGAAAATTTATAAAGCGTCTGGAGCAAAGTTTTCACTTGGTACCATGAAAGCATCAAACATAGTACGAGATGATCTTCCCCAAATGGACCATATGGCAACATAGTTAATTTAACATTCATGAGCTAGGACACATTACTCTGAATTTCCTTCACATGTTTTTTTTTCTTCTCGTTTTAGAACTATTCTAATGGGTCCTCATCTATGCAGAGGGGCTAGACTGCAATAAGCTAAAATTCACCACAAAGTTATCTGTTCGGTAAGGAAGTCACAAAGATTTCACCTATAAGCATATCAATATCCTTTTAAGCCAATGAAAACAACACATTCAAAGTATGATACTCAGGTTACATTTTGCATATGACATGTTGAGAATGGTGCATGGCTACCAAGGTTCCCATGAGGTTCTGAACTGTCACAAATAAAACTGCCTCATGAATAATGAAAGACAGACAAGCTTCCTTGGGATAACTGTTCCAGGAAAAAGGTGCTTCAACTAAAAGCTGCCTTTGGAGATGAGGAGTTTGCAACTTTCTGACCTCCAAAGTTCACCCATGCTGTTCCATTCAAACTGATCTCAGGAGGACCACTTTTCTAGCCCATCAAAGCTATAACAGACAACAATAAGGATATCATTTTGTTCCTTTTCATTCTTCTCTGCAATTCAGTTGGGCATTACTAGCATATAAACTATGAACATAAAAAGTTAAAATTAAAAGTCATACTTACTGAATAATTAGCAAGGCCTTTTCCTATTTTTCTTTGATGTAAAAATCCTCTGAGTCTTGAAATATTCAACCACTGTGCTAGTTTTCTGCTGAGAAATAAAAGACACTGTTAGAGAAAATGCAATAATCCCAATTACAGGGCAACCATATAAGGAATGGCAGTCAACACCCCATGTTGAACCTTGATGGGCAGTGCTTCCTCAAATGATTTTCTTGAATCTGTTCACTTCTGCTTTTAGAAAAAGCACTGGCCAAAACCATCCAGCAGAAAGAACTAAACAAACAAAGCAAAACATCATTCACACCTTAAGGAAAGTGAGAGGAGCATTCTGAATCTTAAAAGTTAAAAGGTGAGAATAGAGGGCCTTTGAGACCACAAGTGGCCAAGGAGGAGCTACATGTTCCTTAATCCTTCTATTTATGTTCATATGCTTGTCTCTCTGTGTGCATGTTGTGTATGTGTGTGTGTGTGTGTAAACCATGTATTTATGCAGATAGTTCAGACTGGGGAAAAATCTTGGAGTGCCCACTTTACCATTTGATTCACAATTACATAGTGTACTCTTTTTACAAATTCGACACTGTTTTGCATACGAACGATTTAATCATAATGTAAAGCGCACATGTATTATCTGATAGCTATGTTAATCATATCCTCAAAATAGTTCTTGTCATCTCTCAGTCATGAAGGCAGTAATAAATTAAAACAGACCAGACCCATTACATCACAACAAAGAATTATTTGAGTGTCATTCTGAATTTCTACCTCTTCTTTATAGGGATCTCATCTACCTGTTCACCAGCTTTCAAGCCTGCAGTCTGACCTTTCCATCAGGCATAACACCTACCATGAGTGTTTTCTATCCCAGAAATGCAGGCTGAGATCTACTCCCATCTTTGTCTAAATAATGGAAGATGAAAAAATGACCAACTATTAATTGCCTATTGTCCTTGTATATAAGAAGAGTTGTGGCGATGGTTTTCATATTGTTGCTGTATTACATCACGTGCACAGATCCAGCCACCTGCATTTAGTGGCTATTGGTCCTTGGGGGGGGGGGGGGGGGAGGTAATGGGGGAGTTGGATGCAGAATGGCCACAAGCAAATATAGCCAGGATTATCTATTCAGTCTGAGGCAGCCTCTCTATGAAGTGAGGGACACTTGCTTTCTTGGCTGTTCGGTATTTATTTACCATATTTGTATCCCACTCTTCTCATCCCTGAGGGGACTCAAGACGGCCTTACAAAAGGCAGCAATTTGATGTCATACATACATACATTAAATACAATAATTACAATTAAAACCACACAAATAAAATATGAATGACTGAAACATCTATTAAAATCATGCCATCCAAAACATAATCCAGGGTCGTTCCATTTGTCAAACACATTGCTTCATGTTCACTTCTTGCACCACTTGCATAACTTGTCAAAAGCTTGGTCCTAAAACCTTTTTTTCCTGAAGGTCAAGAGAGATGGGGCTGATCTGATTTCATTGGGGAGGGAGTTCTTTAGACAAGAGACCACCACTGATAAGGTCCTGTTTCTTAATTTATCTTAGTCATCCTAATGTATGAGCAGCATTACTTTATGCTGAGTGTTGTTAATCTTCCTTTTGCTGCACTCTGCCCCAAATATCACAGATTTATTTGATGTCCACATATTTTCAAAAACTAGTAAACAAGTTGCACTTATATTACACAACAACAGCCTTGTAACTCGTTTATTCATTATATTTAGCTGTCATATTTTTGCATTCTAATATAGTGATCAGCCAGCTATTTATTTTAATATACATAAGTATGTGTCATGCAGAAGATACCAAATACAGAATTCTAATTTTGTACATTTAGCTGTAATAGTAAACACAGTTTAATCATTCCACAATTGCAGAACAGTAACCTGTTGCATACAAGATACCAGGAAAAGTACAGGGTGTTTCAAAAAGACGAGACTGGTTTTAAATCACTATATTCCTGCAAACATGAAACACCCATGAATGAAACTTTTAACACTTGAAAGGGTGGGACATAAGATTTTCAAATTATTACTACTAGATGCTTCTCCCAGCACACAAACAGCCCCCAGCCTTAGTCTTCCCCAAGATGGCAATGTCAGCTATTGTCAAATGGAGTTTATTAGGCTAACTAAAGCAGATCGGCCTACAGCAGATCTTTTTCCAACAATGTCAGCAGAGTGGTTTGTAAAATCTGATAAACCATTGAACTATTTGTAACTTTTTGTGTAACTGTAACATGCTGCCATCATGAATAGGCTTGGGCCCGAATCCATTTGAATAAAAATGATTTGTAATATTCGGTGGTCCATTTTATATAATCTCAAAAAAAAAAAAACTGAACAGGGAGGAGGGAACCGCAAAGACAGGCAAAATGGAGTAATAGAGACGCATTTTATTGGCTCCTGGAGAAGATGGAGTTAAGTCTGCAATATTCCTGAGGTAGGGGTCTGCCGCAGAGCTCCTGGAGAAGATGGGATTATTGAATCGTCTTTTTCTTCCACCTCAGCAGCAGCAGCAGTATCCATTCATTTCTTTTTGGAAAGTTTTCTAGGCTCTCCAGAAAGGACCCTGCTGGGAACTCACTTCCCCAGCAGCACTTGCATGGGATAGGCATTGAAAGGTCTTGCGTTCCTCTCGGACCATGATGGGAGTTGAAGTTTCTCTCTGTGTGTGTTTCTCAGCCAATAAAAAGCTTGGTTGTGTCCTGATTGGCTGAGAATGGACACAACCGGTGACTACAATTCCCAGAACCCTCTCTTCCATTTTATCTTATTTTAAAAAATGTTATGATTAAAACTTAAAATAATTCTAAAAAATCAGAAGATTGGTGAATTGTTTTGAAACTTGGCTGGCCTGCAGTTGTAAATGGGATCTAAAAGTGAGGTATGTTTCATGTATATAGACCTTAAAATTACTGGGGATTGCGCCTCTAAAGTTTTCCATTGTAGTCAACGGACTGAATATTTGCCGAATGAAAACGGCAACACCCCTCCTGCTTCAAGTAACTTCCCAGTAAACAGAATGAGGGGTTAGCCAACAATGGACCCCAAAACGGCATGTCTTTTGGCCGAATTGCACACCTCTAATCATGAAATATACTCCCTTGAAACTGGGCCCATCATTTTGAAACACCTGGAATAAACCTTTCTGAAATTACATGACTTTATATCTAACAAAACTATTGAGAATCCCAAAGATTCATATACCAAATATGATATGTGTAATTATTTGTGAGCAATAGTCTTCTTCAACACCAATAGAGAAGTCTCCAAGTAGAAAGAATTAAATAAGTTGGAATGAACAATTGTGCAATGTTGAGAACCAATTTTCCGCACCTGGAACCCTCCATGCAAGACCACTCCCACCAGAATAGAGAAGGAGACAACAACAGAAATCCACTTCTGGGTTTTGAAAACAGCAATTTTGAAATTGCTAAACAGTGCATGGACCCCAGAAGACTATGTAAAAGGAGAATAGCTTCTCATGGAAATAATTAGGAAAGGCATTCCAGCATTCATCTTTTTCTTTTTTCTAAAAAAAAGATAATACAGGAACCCAGAGAGGCTAAGAGCCCCAAAACAAGCCATGGGGCCAAATGTAGTCTTACAGCCTGTGTCTGCACATTCCTCCTGGAATAACTGGGCTCAAATCTGACATAAGACATTTTAATATTCAAATATATAGTAACTGCAGCAGAGCACATCACCCTCCCAGGTAACTCTGTTAATGACATGAAGGTGTCCAATCTTGAGTAAATGAATGCAAAAGATATGTCAGCTCAAAATTGTTGAACTACAATGCATATAGACATTCAACTCTATTTCCAATGGACTGAATAAGGACACTTTTTAAAACCACACTGTACATGCTAATCACTGTACCAATGAAATAGTATTGTTGTCATCAACTAACACTTAGTGAACTGCAACTGTTAATAAGGTAATTATCACTGTCTATACTTTCTGTATTTCAGTTGCCTCTGACTTGCTGTTTCTAGTCTTCTCCCCTCCAACCTCCTCCTTTCCTAGCATCCCCCAGGCATGTATACACAGATCTGTCAATTTGAGATTAACACTTCAAGCATCTGATAAAGTGAAATATGTCCACAAAAACTTATAAAACTTGATTACATTCAAGTGGCACAATATTCTTTATTGTTTTATTGCAACTGTCTAACACAGCTCTGGCAAAACAGTCTAACACAATCTTTCCAGAAACGCCATCCTTGGCAAGTTTTAAAAGAAAAAGAGCTCTAGAACTAGAGAAAAATCAGCGAAGATATCTCTTCATGCCCTTGTTGTAACTTACTGAGCAAACACTGTACAAAAGAGACTCTTCAGATGATGAAAGAGGCAGAAGTAGAGAAAAGCCTCTAAGGAATAGATAAATATATCTATTTAGGACTAAATCGAAAACAACTTGTAGATCATAACCAGTTAAAGAGGGCACTGGGGCTCTGTATAACGTGTTCCTAATGTTGCAAGTATGATGAATACTGATTGTTAAGTATGACTCTGAGCAAGGACACTAGAAAGTAATGCTGAGCACAGTCACAATGTGTACATCTAGACAAGAAAACTTACTCTGAAGCACTTTTGAGCCTGAAACCCATCATGATGGGGGTCCACCACTATACTCCCAAAGAGCAGATTTATCAAACATAATTCTCATTCCACTTCAACTAGCACAGCTCTCTCCCACATGCACACAAAACTGCCCAAACACTGAGTAAGAATTAACATTGACAAAGAATATATGTAAAAGGTGAACATGCTAGAGTCATAAGTGTATTGCTGGTAGTGACAAAACAGGCCAGGAACTAAGAAAACATCAACACTTATCAAGATCATACGTGGGCAAAGTGGAGTTCCTACGTTTATTGCTGGCAGTGAAATCTTATTACTCTCCTTACAGTTACTACCTATCTTAAAATAACTCTAGGTATTCCTCACCCGGTATTGATTTTATGATGTATGAAATAATGCTGGTATCCACAAAAGAATCTTATAATAAATTTACACAGTTATAGAGGTCACAGTGGTGTGACATGGTCTAACCATAAGCAG